ACTGTGCCTAGATGATATATTCACAATTTAGACACATTCGGAAAGCGAGATCCTCAAGTTCACACAGGCATTTAACCATGCGCACTCCAGCATTTGTTTTACGCACTCCTACTCTAATACTGAAAAAGCTTCCTTGATGTGCTTATTCTAATGGACGATGGTGCGATGTTCACTAGCGTATACAGAAAACCTACGGACAGACATCAATACCTGCACTGCAAAAGCTGCCACCCACGACACTGAATACCAGCATTCCCTATTCCCAAGCACACAGATTCCCACAGATCTGCTCCAAACACGAGGACTTCCACAAAAAACCACAAGTATGCGTGAAGTACTCCTTCATCAAGAATACCCGCCAGCTATCATCAATGACTTCATTAAAAAAGCGGAAAATCTGGACCTCCAGACTGTATTAAACCACCGAAAAATGCCGAGCAGCACCGCAACAAAAATTTGCTATTAAGTTTCATGAGCAACCCACCGAACATAAGCAAGGTTCTAAGAAAACACTTTGACAAATTGAAACAGAGCGTGCGCCAATCCAAAACTCTCACTTCTTCTTCTTGTGATGTATACAGGGGGCCGAAAAGTACTAAAGATCATTTATTCAATTCTAAGAGAGTCATAAAAGCCCAAACAAGGCATCACCTTTACGGAAAAAGCCAATGCAAAATATGCAAACAAATGCAGACAACGGCCGTGCCGAAAAGCACCCACTAAGATTTTAAGCACGGATAAGTTGGGCACTAGACCTTGACTCAGACAACGTCATATACTTTCTGGAATGTGAGATATGTAAGATGCAATACGCGGGCCAGAGAAAACGCCATTTAGAATTAGATTCAGCAACCATCGTGCACATGTATTTTCCCTGCCAGGCCTTTCACTTTCCAAACAAAGCACATTGAAAGGCCGCAGCTTTGATGACACCAGGGTTACACTATTGGAAAACATTTTTCGAACAATGAGAGAATGGTAACAATGAGAAACTTCCTTTATGTACAAATTCAACACGATAAAAAAACCAAATAAATGAGCACCTATGCAATCTATCAGCGTTACGATCACTAAAAGATGCAAACAACTGTTTCTGATCAGTCCTCTGCCCATAGCCTTTTAATGAGACAATAATATTACCCCCTAACAAAGCAGTAAGCGAATCCATCTGACAATATCGAATGGGTTTGCTGTTTCAATCACAGCCGGAAAGCACAAATAAGCGGTCCCGGATGTCATACAGCCTTTTCTCTTTTTATTTTTTATTTTTAGTTTTTTTTCTCTCACTTTTTAACGCACCTTTATTTTCCTTCACTGACAAGAACCGATGAATATTATGAGTATTGATGGCAGTGCCACATCACCGGCTTTTTTCATATCTTCTAGCACAACCAACATGCACTCAAAGCGCTTAAGTTTCTCCCCACCGATTAGTCGTAAGCTTGTAAGGTGAACAAACCGCGAGCCGATTGCACCACAAGGTTCAATACTAAACGGACTTCACACTGTCTACTTAGGAGAGTGTTGGGCACGTGGGGTTTTTTTTTTTTTTATGAAGGCGTGGCTCGTTTACGTTCGCCTTACTACCGTAGTCATGAACCGGCCTTACCTTATAGCAGTAAGGCTACTTATGAAAGGACGAGAAAAGTATAAGACAAGAACAAGGTGCGTGTCAGAAAGCCTCTCATTCTGTCATAAGAGCGCCTTATGAAAAACGTCTTTAACTCGTCAAGTGTAGCTCCTTTGTGCGAGGGCAGGTAACTTTTCGCTACAATATCATTACTTCAAGCAGCAATAAATTACCTTTACTGCAAGAAACCAACAACAGTATATGCAGAAGCAGCCAGATATTAACAGTAGCAATGTTTGTTTAGGCACCTGGAGCTTTTGGTAAAATACACATTTTTCATCTGGCCACAATTCTGTAACTCCTGTCGACGCAGGTCAATTTTGTTATTTCGGCGTCTGGTATGTTATTGTTGTGTTCGGTGGTGTTATCATGCTCGCTTCGGTGTTTGCTGTTTTCTTTCACTTTTTTTTAATTTTCACTGGATCAATTTTATAGATTCAGCCTTTTTACAATTTTTTATGAAGTTGCATTAATTTTGGAATGGTGCACTGAAGATAACTTCACCGACTAAGTGGCTACTTCCTGACATATTTAGTAACAAGTACCAAGACGGACGCGGTGTGCCTTCAGAGAAAACGAAAAACCTGGAAGCGGCTCGCGTTAGAATTCAACAGCCGACCCAATGTGCATCTGTGAAAGGCCGACCAAACAACTAGAAAAGTGCTTGCGCCACTTCAAGAGCTTTACCGGTACAGGAAAAAGTGTTTTTGCAACCATAGTGAGTATCCGCTAGACTGTAACACGGTCAGCTACGAGACATTGATAAGGCCATCGCTCCAAAGTCAAAACGTGCCAACTCCATAAAAGTGCGATGTGATTAGCAGCTGCATGAGACGGGGCACAACGAGCCCACAACCATCAATGGATATTTTCCTGCAGAAACAACACAGCAAGCAGAACAGCACGAAAATTCCTGAATGTCATACGTCTCAACCAGGTTCTGTCGATCGTTGAGGCCCGCCGCGGCAGTGACGTGTACGCGTACGCTGTGTCGTTCAATATTTCTTCTTCACGGTCCACACAATAAATGCAATACGCAAAGTTGTCGTCCCCCGCCATGCTGTTTAGAAAGTGCTAAGTTAGGTCATAGACTACCGTAACCGAGTACGAGGAAAGTTCCGCAATAAGTTCGAGGTAGGTTCTTGAAACGCGTCAAGGGCGTGCTTGTGGCTAAGGTTGACTCAAGTCACAAACATAAGGTTAAGTTAGGCTTATAAAGATGAGTCTCTCCTGAGATGCCGTCCCTTCCTAACCCCAGGGTGTTTTTTTTTGTCAAACTTTTCCCTCTTTCTTTTTTTTGTTCACCTTTGCCTTCTGTCCCCTTCCCTGTTATCTCAACAAGCTACACTGTAAAAAAAAGAGAACCCTCCTTCACGGAGAATCCTGAAAGTATAGCGGTGCCGAGCGATTCCGTAAGCAAGAATACAACTATCTCTTTAAGACGTAGCCTCGTCACGGAAGTCATGCTTCAGCACAGGTACCACAGAACCCGTTACTCTACTAGGACCACTGATACTATTCCGTGATCAAAATACGACAAGTTTCTTCGAACAAAGCATTCTTACGTAGTCTATATGTTATTGCAACTACGTAATACAAAAATGTTTGTATCCTTCCACACAAAAGTCTGCTGTATTGTCTGCACAACAGCCTGCTGTATTGTTCCGCACAACAGTATGCCTCACCAAAGCTGTGCCATGCAGCCTGCTTGCATAATATAGCAATGGAAGATTTCATTTATGTTCTGCATGCCTGTGAATGTGAGTTATTTGTGCTGTTTGACGGAGAGTTTCGTTGGCTGAACACGCTGTTAATTTAGTTTCTGGGCACACCTTCATCTGCAAGTGAACACAGGGTTCATAGAATGATTACAACCTACTATATGTTTTGCACATGTAGCATGATTTTGTGGAATGAATGCAGTCATTCATGGCTAGCTCCCTGAAGTACCCGTTTGTTATGTACACAACACCAAATTGAACAGGAGTCAAGTTGAACTGAACTTTACACAAAGAACACAATAATGAAGTGTGCAGCAAACAAAGGCACAAAGAGCACACGACATAATATATAGCTAATCGCGGCACTGAAATGACGAAGATGGGACTGGCCAAACGTACACAAGCCTGTCCCATCCTTGTGATTTGAAGTGCTACGCTGAACTTTACGAAAATGTTACACCAACAAGGCCGAAAATTTACCCATGAAAAGTTCAAATTACACCCTCCCTTTCCCCATTTTGCAGATTTCTTTTTGTTGAGCAATCTGTACATGCAAAGATGTTTTAAACTACATGTAAAATAATGAGTGTAAAAAGTTTACTTGGACTTGCAATTAATAAAGTTGCATAGAAGTGTTCCCACTTAAGCAGATGGCAGTTGCAGCATACGTTGGCAACAAGTCAGTGAAGGTTGATTACCTCTATATACATCCTCGTAAACATGTTGGTCTTGGAAGTTAATGGCTGACAACAAATAAACCAATATTCCAAGTCGTCTTCCCCCCCCCCCCCCCCGATCTGTCTCCACGCCACTTTTAAGCACTGTTTATATTGATGCTATAGTCTTATTGTCCAGCAGTTAAACTGAGTCTTGGAACAAGCTGCACTAGTGGCAATAGCAGCACCCCTCTTTGCAGTCTTTAAACCTCTGAACTCTTTCTGCCCATTTTGCCAATAGGTGTCACGTTGCAATACCCCAGTGTACTTTGTGGAAGTACTTCCTCTGATCATGCGCAGGTGTGCGGTCCATGAACGTATATCCCAATGTATACCGAAAAGCAGTGAAGATTTGAGTGAGGTAATCGGTAAAGTATAAAGCAAAAATTGCAACGCAAGTTTCATGGGCAAAACAAATGAAAAATGGTCACCGAAACTTAAAGAACGTAAAGAGGATGTTGCTTATGTTTTCCATGCAACATGTTCTGACACAGAGCTTGTTGAACGCTGCTGAGTGACAAGACATAGCTGCAGCCTGAACAATATTACTATGCCACCTCGAGTACAAAGGTGAGAAAGCAGAAAACTTCTGGAGTCGCGGTCCATTCGTTACCATGTATCAGCTTCCAACAACCCCGTCCTTCTATCTATAAATGTTTACAAGAAAATATGTGACCAGTGGACTGGTTGAACTTTGCACGCTTATTGCCAAAATATACTGAGAATGCTACCTGCACAGAAGGCAAAGCTTTCATGTCATTTTGTTATTATTTGTTGTGCAAGGTCAGAGTAAACAATTTACACTTAAGCCACAAATTCAGAGTGTATGTGGGGGTAGTTTGTGTGTGTGCACTGTGCTGCGTTATCTTGCAGATGTGTGAATCATACCTGCTACAGCATTTCAAATGAACAATGAAATGCACTACTACACGCTTTTTTTGAACACAACTTTGGCAGATGTATTCAAAAACATAATTGTAAAAAGTGCTTAAAGCCCGCTTATGAAACTGTGTGCATGGCCTATGAATAGCTCCACTTGGCTCCTTTCTATATGTCTGAAAAGAAAGTATAAAAAAAGGATTGTAGCAGCAGCAATGTTCAGAGTTTAAACCGCTATGGTGTCTACTGCATACATCGCCTCTGGTCACACCACTATTTCATGAATCACAAAAGGAGGCGGTATTTCCGGACAAGAACAGATCACATGCAGAACAAGCAGCAGGATGCTATGAAGACCTATTGCTATAAGAGACAAGAACTCAACGTTAAACGCACTATATTTTAACGGCAAAAGAATTCATAGACTAGCATAACAAATTCCGTTTAATAAGTGCCATGGTGTGGCAGTTACAATTTTTGTAACTACTAACACCATGGAGAGTTATGTGGGGTGAACAAAAGAATTTTGCATTAGATTATGAAATCTTACACAAGACAAAAGCATACTGTAGGCCACTGCAAAGGCCTACGTGGGGCAGGCAACATATTGTAACGGCACCTTTGGAGCGAGAAAGAGGAGCTGTGAGATAAGAGGATCAGGACTTCGTTGTCAATCTGTAGCCTCAACCCACCCAACAGTCTGCGTGACAGAGTGCTGGATGGGTACACGTCGCCTTATTCATTACATCATGGTGGAGGTATTAGCCTGATGAAGATAATGAATAATGCATCAACAGAAACGGTGAGCATTAAATTAAGAAGCAAGGCTTGCATATATAGTTTTTTAAAATCCAATAAACACTACATGACAGTTTTAGATCTCATTACGACAGGAGCTAACATAAAGATGGGGGCTTGAATGAGTGTCATCACTAAATTAAGTGTGTTGTTCGAGCCAATGTTTGAATAAGACAATTGGTCTAAGTTGTTGCAGCAACCTTGATGCAGTTTGCTGCCTCGGTAAAGCAAAGTTCCGTTGTCGAATAAGAAGCTCTAGCATTCGTTCAATGATTTCTTTTTTCATCAGGTATACATCTTAACACAATCAATACAAATCTTCAACTTTAACAAATGCTTCTATTGTGCTGCCTGCGCAAGGGCAGCCGGAAATTCAAACGAAGAAATGACGGGAGCGTTCTAAAACCCTTCGAATTGTATCACTTAACGCACGCAGCGTTTTAAACAAACTAACTCTTTTGGAAAGCCTAGTACTAAACCACAATCCACATATTTTAGTTATTACAGAAAGCTGGTTGCACGAAGGCGTGCTTGATTCTGAGGTTGTCCCCTCCTCATACAAATTAATCCGCAAAGACAGAACAACAAGAGGCGGGGGAGTAGAGATAGCTATAAAAAAGAATGTGAAGTTTTCCCGTTTAGAGGATATTAGCAACCATGAAAGTGTGTGGTGCCGGACCAATTTCTATGGAAAAAGCATATTCTTAGGCGCAGTCTATCGTCCACCAAACTTTTCCTTTGAATATTTAGAGATTATGCACGACTTATTGCACAACACACAAATTCACGTTCGAAGATAATTTTATGCGGAGATTTTAATTTGCCAGGAATTAACTGGCCTGAGTTGGGTCATGATCACCGAGCGGTAGCAAGTGCGGAATCATTGTTGCTAACAGCGTTTAGTTTCTCATTGTCACAACTAGTATCTAGTGCTACGCGTATTGTAGGTTCTTGTTCATCTGTGCTTGATCTCATGTTTGTAAGTAATTCCCTTGAAAACTGTTGTACAAGTGTTGAAGATGGGATTTCCGACCACAAGATTGTTTCTCTTTCGTGTCCGTTAACACTAGTTCCAAAAACAAAGGAATCCAGAGCTACTTATTTCAGGGACTTTGCACGTGCAGATCACGCTGCTATCTTCGCCCATTTAGAATTGTCGTTTCCTGTTTTCGATAAAATCAACAACGTGGACGAACTGTGAACATGCTTTAAAGATCTCGCGGGCGATTGTGAAGCTCGTCACGTGCCTTTAAAAAGAAAACGCGTTGACCGGGATCATCCGTGGGTGACGCGGGAGATCATACATTTAAAAAGAAAGATTAAAAGGCGACGCAAGGCCTGAAAATCTGATCAACTACAAGGCCTTATCGCTACACTGAACAACAAAATTCGCAGCGCTAAGTCTCGATTCCATTCTGATACGCTTCCATCATTCATGCAGTCTGAGCCAAAAAAGTTTTGGCGCTACTTGTCGAAGCAGCATTCTGATATTACCCAGCTCACATCGTGCAACAATATTATCATGCAACCAGACCAGATAGCCGATGAATTAAATGCCTTCTTTCACTCAGTTTTTGCGGATGGGTCCCCTGGAGCATCTTTACCATCATATCCTTTAATTAACCCTATGCCAGAATTGCAGATTAATGGAGAAGGTGTTCAGTGCCTACTCCGCAACCTTGACACTAAGAAGTCTCCCGGCCCAGACAATATTTCGAACACCTTTCTTAATAAATAAGCCGACTGGATAAGCCGATATCTACATAAAATCTACACCACTTTAATAGTTGCGCAGACAATCCCTAATGACTGGCGCATGGCAAAGATTATTCCAATACATAAATCCGGTTCTAAACTACAATCCCGTAACTACCGCCCGGTCTCATTAACCAGCACGTGTTGCAAGATATAAGAGCATATAATTTTTAAAGCCATTATAACACATTTAGAAACTAACAACCTACTCTACTATAGGCAAGATGGATTTCGATCTGGCTTACCGACAGTCACGCAGGTAGCCGAGATTACCAACGACATTGCGAATTCACTGAATGAAAGAGGACAAATAGATGCCGTTTTTTTTAGAATTTGCAAAAGCATTTGACGTCGTTCGCCACCCTGATCTAATAAGTAAATGCGCGCAATTGGTATTGAAGATAATATTATTATATGGATACATCATATCTACACAACCGCAAGCAGTTTGTCGCTGTGAACAACCACACGTCAAACCGCCTGAACGTCCTTTCGGGCGTACCACAAGGATCAGTCTTAGCACCAATTTTGTTTCTTATCTACATCAACGACATTTCTATGGTCATTGACTCACCCGTGACTCACATATAACTGCTATTTGTTCGAAAGCGCAAGGTAAATTGGGCTTCCTAAAGAGAAAACTCCATAACACTCCCCCTGCAGTAAAGCTAACTGCCTATAAGACCCTGATTAGACCAGCACTAGAATACGCCGATATAATTTGGAGTCCAGATCATAAATTTCTCATTAGTAAAATTGAGCGAGTGCAAAACTTAGCAGTTCGATTTGTGTTTTTCGATTACTCCAGGTATACCAGTGTTACTAATCTGCGTAAAAGAGCCGAACTTCATTGCCTTTCCGAACGGAGAATACATTCTAAACTTCAATTCCTGTATCTTCTTTATCATGGGAAATATACAATATCCAGATCAGACTATCTTCTTGAACCTTTCAGGCATTCCACGAGAGCTAACCACAATAAGACAATACGACTGCCCACAAGTCACAACAACATTTACAAAAACTCTTTTTTTCCGTCATCAATTGCACATTGGAATCAACTTCCAATAATAGCTGTGAACTGTGACACCGTAGAATCCTTTATTGAAAAGATTAAAACTATAAGTTTTGAACAATAGACGCAAATGTGAGAATAGGGATTTATTGTGAGCAGTTTCTTTCCCTTTGACTGGTTTGTCCTTTTAGCATGATTCTGAACGTGGCATTATGACACTGTTGTTTTGGCTACTTGGGATTCAATAGTTTTTTTTTTCTTTTCTTGGATTGTGTCGGTGCCTTTCTGTACGTAACATCATTGTTTGTATATCCTATGTACCACTCCTGCTTGGACAGAGAAGGTCTGCAGTATACTTAAATAAATAAAATAAATAAATAAATTATTGTAATGATACTGGGTGCAAAACTTAAGCTGCAGAGGACAAGGCATTTAGCAGGGGTCTGGCTGCTCAACAGTTTCATAACACTATGTCCATGATGCTAAAAATGAGTGATTCGAAAAGAGGACATAGATTTACCACAGCAGCAAACCGTATCAAGGTTACTGCCACGACTTAGACAAAGGATTTTTGTTCAAACATTCAAAACAACCTAATTTTGCAAACTCTTGATTGGCTCCAAAAAAGAAAACTTTAATGATTTGACCCCCATTCAAGCCTCCCCATCATCATCTTAACTTCAACCATATTAAGACAACTGTCATGTAGTGTTTGATAGAATTATAAGATATAGACAGTAAGCCTTTCTTTTCAATTTAATACTCACTTTTTGCGTTTATGCTTTAATGACTGTATTATCAGCCAAAGAACCCAGAATAAAAATGTGTGAGGGCGTGTTCAATTTTTATTGTCAGAAGTATTTTCAACTCTAGGTAAACGCCCTTAAAACAAACAATGAAATTTTATTCTACAAGAAAGAATCACTCATGTAAAAAATATAGAAAAAACACTGCATTTTGCCATGTTTGATTTGACTGCTATGTGGGGTTTAACGTCCCAAAACTACCATATAATTATGAAAGACGCCGTAGTGGAGAGCTCCAAAAATTTCAACCACCTGCAACATTTCCGCCTTCATCGGTAATGTAGCCACTGCAGCCGGGACTCAATCCTACAACCTGCGGGTCATGGGTGAGTACCATTTTGCCATGTTTCCTCACGACCAACATTAGCGTAAATTGAAACAAAAATTATTTCGATATCATAGCCATGATATTTTACTGACAAAGAAACAAAGACTGTGGTAAAAGCATGAAGCAACAATCATGTGTCAGTTATTTTTGTCTCATAACTCAATTTCTGAACACATGGTTTCAAAGGCCTCGGCTGTATTAGAAAGTTCTTCCCCAAAAATAGTGCTGGAACAACTTCCCACATTGAGGTATCAAAGCATTAGTTTTAGAAAATATTGCAAATGGTCAAGAAACCACTTCACAATTAACATGACAAGATCATGAACTCGCAAATACTTACAGGTTATTGTTCCGTCACAGTTTCCGAGGCAGCCCGATGGCTTCTGTGTTTCTATCTGTATTGTCTTCTGTCTGCCTTTGGGTCAGTTTTGTAGAATGTCTGCCGGCAAAAAAAAACATGAGAAACAATTCACTTTTTCTAGCATGCCCCATGCAACACAACTTGACTTACTCGGCCTCGTGAGGTAGCAGTCTCAAAAGGATGCTAACAGCGACGGCCTTATATATGTATATCTCATACCCCATTAGCAGGCTCCAAAATAATGCCAAATCATTGTTAAGCAAGAAGTCTAACAGAAGAAAACAGAACAACATTTTACACTAGACATAAGTTTAACTTCCTAATACTCACTCAGTAACCTATTTTTCTTACGCATTATATGCATACATCTTGAAAGGACTGGGCTTGCAAACATGGCCACAGGTGAGTCGGGACACTTCAAATGCCAGCTAACAATGAGAAGGCAGACTAACGAAACATATAAGACAGTTCACCTGAGGCCCATCATTAAACCTATCTTTATATCATGACGTAAATACACGCCAAAATTCCAATAATGTAGTTTCGTACAAGCACAAAAATAGAGAAATGCATCTAATGATTGAGGCTTGGCATATTGACATGTGGTAGCGCATGTGTGAGCCAACCATTGAATAACTCAACGAAGAATGCAAATGCTGAGCAGTTATCTCTCACATATACCAACAGGCCTGCCGTCTTGATCGATATCTCCACTTGCCTAGTTTCCTTTGTAGCTTAATGTCAACTTTTCCAGTTGGTGTTTTCGGTGTATTGACTACTCTCTCAAGTCCATGTTTCCATGCGCTACCTTTTTAACAATTACCAACCTACGAAGCAGCTGACCTCTCCTATTTGAAATATGTATACAATCTAGAATTACTACTTTGTTCATTTGATGTAACAATAATAATGGGGTTCTGAATGTGAATGTCAATTCAAAAGCACTAAGGCATCAAGCATTTTCGCCTCCTTCAAAAGTGCAACTGCTGCCCTAAAGATCAAATCCACTCATTGAGGGGGTTGTTCACATGTTTGCATAGCTGTAAGCAACGTAAGACAAATTTTAGGACTATGAAAAGAGCTCCAAGTAAAAGCAAGACCCGCAACTAGCAAGAAGCCATATATTATCCAGCCTAGAATCTATTTCTGGTAACCTAGAATGCTGTGGCGCAGGCCATGCACCTCGGCAACTGTTCCGCTTTTCTTTCTGAAGCAAAGCTGAGCAGAGTCAACATTGATATCTACTGATTGCTCTGAAAACAGCAGTTAAGTTGCCAAAAAGTAAAAGCCTTAAGACCGAAAAAAAGCTCCAGGACTAGTAAAATGTTAAACACTTAATGATGCAAGTACACCCAAAACACCATTTTAGATGCACTGGTTGAATAGGTATTAGGTAAACAAAGCAGCAAAGCAATGAACTTCCAGCTATGTAGCTGCAAAAGCGGAGAAAGCAGGTGGCTCTAATGCCGTGAAAAATCCATGAAAGTAATATCAACAGGAAAAGCTTGGTAGATGTTTAATCCACAACAAATGCGAATTTCTGCCACGTCAGTAGTTAACACTTGTAATTAGACTGGCGACTGCATAGGTCGAAATGCGAAGTGCAGTTTGGAATATTTCTTTCAAAATTACATTCTTAGACAAAGTGAGAATTTAGCTTCATCGAGCATTTTGTGTCCCGCAAACTTTTGCTGTTGATGGTACATATTGAACATATAGAATGTCTCGTATAATGAACACATAAATATTGACAGAAGCTGCAGACTATTTCACAGATGAGCATTGTAAAATATAAATCAACAAAGCCATGCAGTGCACAAATTGACCATTCATGATTGAAATGTGAGAAGCTATTAAACAACCCCACTATCTGAAATTTCTGATAACTGCAAAATTATAAAATGTGAGCACGTTGCCACAAATTTCGTGTTCACATGAAATGATGAAGTCACAGCCAAAACACACAATGTAGCTGTTTTAAGTTTCTCACTCGGCTTCTCCATCGTTCTCGTCGTGAAGAGGGCTACGCATACATTACCATCATGACTACAGTCACATGGCAACAAAGCATGACGTCAGTGATTGCGCAATCAACATGCAGCCATCAACTAAGCAAGGCCTCGTTGATGTGCTGCTGTGCTACATCGGCATGGTGAGGGCGTACTGTGCAAGGCATAGATGAGATAAACAAATATGCAGCTCGCCTCACATCGACACAATCTATACGGCGTAATTTTAAGGCCAAAACATAATTTCATATTTCAGAAAGAACCAACCGACAGTCAGTGCAAAATCACATCACTTCGGTAGCGAAGAGTATACACTGGTCAGGCATGAACGGGACACCATAATTGTTTTTTGTAATGAAGTTTCTGTGATACTCACACAATGCGATTGCTGTAACACTCTGTATGAATTAGCAAGATGGTTTGGAAGGTGTTAAAAAGAAAGACAGAGCCAAAGCTGCCTAGTGGCACTTTGAGAGAATGTAAAACACACTCTGCAGGGAATTACTTTTCCAGACATATCCCTATAGGCTATAAAACTGACAATTAACATGCCTACTCTATGCAACATAGGAATGTCTCACACCTTTGCAAGCACTTTACTCTGGTGGCTGCACTGTCTGTGTAGGCCAGAAGCAGCCTGCCCGTGGCTCTCAGGCATCTGATCTGTTCGTTGAAAAAAACTTCTGGCTCACATCCTTGCAGCACTGCTTTTGAGAGGTGCTTCCTGCGATAAAAAAAGTAGCACAACACAATTATGCTCTGTAAGCACTCACATGAAATCCACATTGGTTCCTTAAAAAAATTTTTCAGCTATAGACTGAACCACAGAAATACTCTCTTCTGTTATAATGGAGCACCTTATTGCTTTCCCTGGCATGGTTTCTTGTTTTCACCCATCAGACAATCCAGCTTTAGTTGGGGAGAAAGCAGTTGAAAAGCATGAATTTATTATACCATATAAAAAATAATAGAATAATTTTGCATGATATATGAAATTTTAATCATTGTAATTTCCCACCACCAAGAAATGAGTGAGCAAGCTGTGATGTTAAGGTGTCGCAAAATAATGGAGCTTCTGGAAAATACAATTAGCTGCAAGTGCCTGTTGAATCTACTCGAGTGCATTTAGCAAACCTATTTAATGATACTGACAGACAGAGAAAACCAACTTCTCACTTAGCTTCCCCCATCACAGCATCATGTTGCTTCACATAAGGGTTCCTAGTATGCAGGATGCAGATGCATGAACTTTGTGGCTATGTCGTACCACAGTGAATGTAATCGACATCTGCTCGAACTATGCGAGCAGCTGAAAAATGCTCCATTGTGCAATTAGCTGTAACAATGCAATATTGCTAGCTACCGGTCGCTTCACCCTACACCCACAACAAATTTTGGCATCAGCAAGGTTTCGCAGTGTGTACAAGCGTCTGAACACAGTATTCAATGCTACCAACTGCATTCGCTATTTTTATATCTAGATGCATAGAACGTGCACACAGTAGCCAATGATTGCGCTAGTAGTCAATAATTGTGCCAAATAGAAGAGTCCATTTTAGGTATTTTATAAAATTCATAGATAAGAATCAGGCTTATCATTCAAGCCTGTTGTTTAGCCTCATAGGTGAAAGTGTGCTTGCAAACGTAACCAGAAAAATTAGCAATTAACATGAAAAATGGTAAAAACTAGGTTTATGTTTGACAGAAACAAATCGCATACAGTAAACACAGTCCAAGACACTGCAATGATAAGGTTGTAAATTCCAAAGTGGCTCACTATTCTTCACACTATGCATGCATTTACAGATAGCAATGCTTGCTGCTAGAAACAATAAATTATTACAGTTTTTGTGAAATTCCACTTGCCAGTACCCCATTCTACAGAAAGGCAAAATTTTGCGAAACCAAGTCACGTTTCTAGGCGAAACGCACTCCCATGGTGACAAATAGTTAGAGTACTCTTCTACAGCAGAATTTATTGGAACTAAAAACTACGATAAGAATAATTACTTATTATAGCTAGCAAGAGCCTTTCTACTGTTGTTTATTTGAAGCAATTTGATCTCAGTGGGAGGCCACATATTAAGGTGTGCAAAAACACTGGTTGTGCAGCAATTCCAAACTATGCTCATTCATGGTAACCATTGCACCTCTCCCTCAAATAAAGGTTGCACATAATTAACATTTTGGCATGAATAATGTTAAGTTAGTAGGTAGCATACATCGTGATATTACTCTGTATACCCTCACTTATTTTGCAATATTTTCACTTCGACTTGACTAGCTCAAAGCAACACTCTTCTTCAATAAATAAAACTTTGTACATTACCTTTGAGTTAGCCACAGATGCTGAATAAGCACCTCTTAAGGAATGCCTGGCTCACAAGGTGGCCAGCACTGCACAGTTCGTCAGAGCACTTCTGTTTGCTACCTGCAGTACATAGCAAAAAACTTAGGCATTCAAACAAAAACAAAGCAAGTATTGCAGCAGCTTTTTGTCCTCTGGGGATAGGGGGAGGGTAAGTACATCATTGTTCTTCATAAGCTACAAACACATGCATTAACTGTTTTAGTTTGGCGCATAAACAGTATAAAAGAGTGAAAATGGTTAGCGGAAACAAGCGGCCGCATATTTGAAATCCTCCAAAGAAGGCAGAAACACTCACTTCAGATTTTGCAGTACACAAAGTGCTGAATTTCACTAACACTTGGACACTATTAGGCCAATATGAAACGACAATGTATTGCGAACGCCTCCTGTACTTTGAGATGCCTGGCACGTCCGCGCGACCCTCTCCGCGCGACCCTCTCCCGTTTACTCACGCCACCACCGCACCGCGGCGCTGTGTTCTGACATTATCGTGCGCCTTGCCGGCAGGCGAGCGCCCGCGTAGTCTTTGCGGTAGCCTGTTCGGAGTGAGCGCTAATGCTGTTGGTAATTTTTTTCTCAGGGTGCCACACGCTACTTTTTATCACGCGTATTGCCTCTTCAGAGCTCGATCTAATAACCGCAGCTGAAGCCCAGCCATGCGGTACTGCTGTGTGCCTTTTTGCACCTCAAGCCAGCGCAAGAAGCAGCCTGGCGTTTCGTTCCTCGAGATACCTGCAGATGCAACACTCCGGGAATAATGGCTGAAAGTTACATCAAGAAAGGACTGGCAGCCAAATTCCACATCCAACTACTCAGCTGTCTGCAGCCTTCATTTTCTCAATGCGGACTTTCGCGAAGACACCAAGAGACGCATGCTGAAGCCAGGTACTGTGCCCAGTGTTTTTCCACAATACCTTTCTTACCTCAGGCCAGCACCGTCGAAGCCGCGAGGTGAGAGAACCATTGCAAAAAGGAAACGCGAACGTTCACCGACGAAATCAGCTTCCAATGGCGCGTCGGAAAACCTCACTCGTGTTCGTTCAACGCAGCAGAATGTGTCGGACTCAATGTTGTGCATTGATTGCGCGGACGTGCCCGTGTGTGACAACAGCAGCGTCGCCTCTCAAGACTTCATGCAACAATGCTGCACGTCCCGTGCCAGCGAAAATTCCGATGAGAGGCCTGATCCAAATAGCGCAGATATACTGCTACATGCCGGCCAGGCCGCATACGCATGAGGTCATTTGGCACGCAGACTAATGAGCAAAGTTCGTCAGCGGCTTTCCTGCAAAGCAAAAAGTGGCATGAGAAAGAAAAGGCCTTAAAGGCACAGAATGAGAGGTTGCGTTCAACGGTTGATGCGTACAAGAAGGAGCTCGAACGATTGAAGGAGGAGTGCTGCGTCAGCAAATTTCTTAACGTTGTCAGAGACTCGAAGCTTGCGTGCACGAAGGCCAAAATTATTTTGGACCAAGTGATTAATTATAAGGCCAAGAAGCCTATATGGTCAGAAACAACTATTAGGCAATGTACCATTTTGCGCCACCTCTCAGCAAAATCTTACGAACATATGAGAACTGAGAACCTGCTCTCCTCTCCGTGCAGAAATACTCTGAGAAAATACCTCGGAAGTTCATCAGGAAAGGTTGGATTTAGTGAACTTGTCAATATAAGGCTGAGTGCAGAGCTGGAATGTCTCACAACACCCCAATCAAAACTATGTAGTCTCGTGGTAGATGAAATGCGCATTCGACAGAAGCTTGAGTACCACAAGCAACGAGATGCATTTCTTGGAGACATTGACCTGAGTGCCGACCTCAATCATCTTTTGCTAACATCTGATAAGGGTCAGCTTGCAGCCCCCATTTTCAAACCATGCGTTAGACATAAGTGACAGAAATGCAGTGGCTAAGATGTATCACAACAAGCGGCTGTCACGTAAAGTACTGAAGCTTTGAAACGGCATATATTGGTTCTGTTCTTTGATTTTTTTCAGTGAAGTGATTTCTTTAGACTGCAGACATCAACTGTGATAGCAGTGTCATGGATTGGGGAACTCTTCTTCCACCCTATTCGCTTTATATTGTTAGTTTCGCTACATATGCATGATGATGCCCCTCGTTTTTTACCATTGTCTGTGACAACAAAGTTATTTTCTGCTTTACACTTTCTTTGACTACCGATATTTTGCATTTTTTTCTTCACAGCCGAGGCTGCTGCTATTTTGTATACCTGTGATACTTACTCCTGTGATAAAATATATACATGTTCCCTTTTTTTGTTTACAATTTTCTGGCCATTATATGCATGAACCTGCAGTTGATCTTGCTTTACATCGATGTTATTTCTTTTTTTATGTTGAAGGAATATCTATTCGTATTATTATTATACTGTGATATGTATTGCGTTATCTGCAGCACACCCCAGCTCTTAGCAGAGAATGCTTAGGCTGGCCTTTTGCTGCAGTGAATAAATATTGTGCTATTGTAGTTCCACTTGATTTACATTTTATTTTCGTTCTTGACTTTATTTTCACTCTGCTAAGCCCTACAAACCTTGAAGGACAAAATTTTCACAAAGATGAGCGCTGCGAAGCTCCACAAAGCGACTAGCGTAGTGTCAGAAGCTGGCGCTGCCTCGCGGCAGTCCGGTAAAACATGGTGGCCGCGGGTGGACAATAGGATAGCGGCCGACGTGCCAGGCATCTCAAAGTATAGGAGGCGTTGGTATTGCACTCGCTTCGCTGTCCAGCTGGTGCTTCCGAAATTTCCTGAAGTTGCACAGACAGCAAAGTGGCCTGGCCGAATTTACGTATACCCCTTCCAACAAGCCCCGTTGCCTTCAACTCCAAGTGGCAGCACCAAATGAAGTCATTCAATAGTGGCATGCGACTAATGCTAATCCCCTAAGCGTTTGAATAAAAATACAAGTATATTTCAGTTTCATGTTCGATTTCTATTGTTAATTTTTCCGCGTGTCACCTTTTCTCTGATGTTGGGTATCGAGATAAAGGCAAAATATTTTTAAAGTATAGTATTACAATATGTTTACCAGCAGCAGTTACATTACATTATTATACCAAGTAGTGCTAGCGATATCACTGCAAACATTCAGAGCAATGACGACGGCATATCTCCGAGACCTTCACAGTCTTTCATTGAGCTGCAGTTAAAGACGGCAGCCGCTAAATAAACTTTGAACCCCTTCTTTCATAAACCGAGTGAGCTGCTTTTCTTCAAAAAGCTTGCGGGCGCAAGGTGCAGGCATTGACGGAAGTAGATATAGCCCCGGTAACAGGCACCGCTCGGAGTTGATGAGCCGGCACTCTTGCCAAACCGTTACAGAGAAGGCAGCTTCTTCGTCCCTTTTTGCCCTATGAGCTTGGGAAGCGCCCGTGCTAATGCGCTGTGCATCCCTCGGGGTTGCTCTGATCAGGCGATCTCTTTTTTATGGTGTTTCCGTTTTGGTCTTTTCTAATACATTTTTTTTCTGATAGCCAAATAGCGAGAGCCGCGATGCGCCACAGCACAGGTCACTGGCGCCTAACTGAGACTAGAAAATCACTAACGGTCACTGCGAAAACAGCGAGAGCCAAAAGGACAATAAGCTGGACGTAACTTAAGCATCTACTGCCGGCACAAGACCTGCAAACGGTAAAATAAACGCTGCCGGCAGAGTATGCCCCGCTAATATCCATAAGTGCATTATTGCAATCAAATACAGCCCAGCTGTCACACCTGTGATAATCAAAGTGGCTTGTTTATCTACACGGAACAAGCTAACTGAACTTCGGTCGTGTCGCCTGATAACGCAACTCCAACGAAAAAGATGGGATGCGCAGTTTTGTCGGTCACTCACCCGGGACGTAGAGGAATTTTCGTCAACTATAACGCAATGCGTACTGAAACACGACACGTGACAGCAGCTATCAAGCCCACACCACTAAACCCCTGGTAACCAACTTCACGGTCAGTTGCATGCGACACCGTTGCACAGAATTCGCAAGTACGCCGTAACAGCGCAAGCGAGAAAAAAAACAAAAAAAGCCGCTTTCGTGTAAGGCTCTGTGTGACTTCGAAGCAGCGTAAACATTCAAGGCATGAGCATTTTGTCAGCAGTCGAACAGGCCGAAGGAGGGGAAAATTCACGAGAGCCGTAAGATAGGACCTACCTGATAGGGAAATCCACAAAACTTGTTCGCTCGTCAGCTTGGCGGGAAAGATTCGACGCACTGGTGACTCCAAGTAGTGAAGTTAACGACACCTCGTGCAAACTTCTGGTGGCATATTGTCCGACTTCACGCAACCACAGGTTAGCCGATAAGAATAGGACAACGAATACACGTCTTGATGTCGCAAATGCCCGTCGAACATGGTCGTTTCTATCGAGTCCTCGACCGCGACGTAACAAGCGTCCATGTTAGCTGCCGAGCGCCGGGCATGCGCGACCTTGCTTGCGCCGCGTCATAAAGGAAGGAATTTCCTTGAATTCCTTCCTCCTGCGCCGCATACATACATCACGTCACTACGTCGGAGAGTTGTTATCGCGACCTGCCGGCCGACGCACCACCGCCTGCATCGGCGCGTCCCGCTGTGTTCTGATGTAGCGAAGGGGTCCACGCACTGAGGAGTTTCTTGTAGAAACAATATTGAAACCATGCTTTGCGGTTGCTGTATAAACTCGCTGTACTCGCTACACCTCCACTGCAGTACATTAACCAATAGTGGGCATGTCATAGTTCTCTTTCGCATGCAAAAATCATCATAAGTACACCATGAAATTATACGTACGCGCTGCTTGATTGACAAGATGAACTCACGCATTCAATTGTGCAAAGCACGTATACGATATTTTTTTTCGCCTGCGATTCTGACTACTTTTTTTTTATTGTGGAGCGAATAAAACAGAAAAAAAGCTTCCTTACTGAGAATAAAAACAACAAATTGTGCACCAGCTCTGTTATTTCAACGCACCTGCTTTTTTATTTGTTGTGTACGCGCAATCTGACAAACCTGAAATGCTCGTTGATGGGACATATGAATTTTCATATCAGAGCGATCATAATAATTCAAAATTTTCTGCAAGCTCAAAACAACGTGTGGAACCCACCACTACATCGATACTGGTTTCAACGACATATCAGTGATAATAATGAGATGGAACCACCAATGTTTATAAGCTCCCTTTGGCAAAACAACCCGCTTACAACAATGCCGCTGTGCCAAATTATCAGTTATATCAAACAAGCGTGGCTGCTGTGTGTTCGTGCCGAAAAAAAAGGGGGGGGGGGGTAATGCGCGTGGCGTGTAATCCTCGGGAAAAAAAAGAAAGAAGAAAACGGGAAATGTTTGTGTCCCAACACCCCATACGGAAGAACTCCGTATGCTAGTGGTCTCTAGAAATTTCACTATCTGTTATTTAAAGAGATAATAAATACAAATTATGAAAAATTGCTGAAAACGTGGAAGTTCTGTTAGGAAGGCACGCATGTTCGGCTAAACAAAGTTCCCATATTTTTTAGTAATTTGGTTGTACTTTTGGTAGATTGGCATCGCGCGGCGGCAGCACGTGACCCTTGCCGTCATATTCTCCGATGCGCACGCAGGGTGCAGGTATTCAGACCTTTCTCTTCCCTTTTTCCAACTCTCCTTTCATCCTACTCTTTCCTTACACAAAAGCGCTGATGCTTTAGCTCCAAGCCGGGAGCATTACTCGCTGCCAGTGCCGTTCTTAGTGGGGTTATTCCACGCCAAAAATACCAGCAATTTTGGCGACCACCTCGAATCAATTCGAAGAAATATCCTGCTGATTTACTGCATTCAAAGCAGCGAATCACTAGAATATTTCAGGAAGAAAAAAATTGTGGTCACGTGAGTGCTTTCCAAATTTATCCAAATGTCATATGGCTGTTGTTCGTGAAAAAAAAATTATTTTTTAAAGTGTCACTTTATCTTTCAATACAGAATTTAGTTATTATAATAAGTAATGGCTACTGTGCAAGGTGTTTTAAGCAAATCACTATAGTGCAGTTTTTTGGCCACATACACCTACAAGAGTTTAGCCGAAAGGGGTTATATTTGCAGTTTTTATATTGCACTAAAGCTATTTTAATGAATATTCGTGAAATTATTAATTACTCCATAGAAGGCATATTTAGCAAAATTATTACCTTTGCACCCCTCAAGTCGGAAAACTTAAGAAGGAAAAAAACACAAATTTCCCATAATCATCAACTTTGTTCCCATTGAAGCCAGTTTGAACCACGTGGTGGTCTAAATAAAGATAACATTTATATCCAACTGGAAAGCCAGTAAACAGTTCTTTTGATATCCGAAGTTTCATCATTAGCAATTTTGCTTCATGGAAGCAAATAATTTTTGAAGTTTCTAATTGACAGCTATCTTCCCATTTGGTTATATGGCAGCTTCCCTCTTGTCCCCCTTGGCCCCGGCATTTCTCAAGGCAGACAGGGCGTTTCCTCTCTACCTGAGTATAAATCGACGACATGCCTCACACGCAGAGGATGTTATCGCATGCGCCCTTCCTGCGACTGAGATGGGTCGGCTTGCTTCCCGTTTGCTTCAGCCGCATTCGTAGTGCTCGCTCGCGTTTGTTTTCTGGGGGGTTGTTATCTATTTGGACTTTATATGGTGCGTGACGGCGATGCCGATATCGGAAACACGTCAAAAGTATTCATATCACAGTTAAAAGATTAAAGAGGAACTATGAAAAAACGAATGTTAGTTACACGCACCCATGCTCTCTGTCAACACAACGTGCCCCCCACAAATGTGGCCTGGTAGTGGCATTTCGCCTAGAAAAGAACTAATCAGAACAGCCAACTTCTAGACTTTTTCATAAAGTTCACTAAAGATGGACATTCTCTCTGTACCCACAATAACAGCAATGTGTCCCTTGGAATCCACGTCAATTTTTGCCTTCTTCCAACGAACAGAGAGGCACCCGTGAGCTTTACACCAATCTTTGCCGTGCCTCTAACGGACAGTTTTTACAGTGTATAAAAGACATGAAAAATGGGAAAAATGGGTAAATATTATGCCTCAAGAAAACCCGTCAGAAACTAGGGGTTGAATGATCAGTTGTTATGTGAAGGCAGATCTACTTTCATATATATATATATATATATATATATATATATATATATATATATATATATATATATATATATATATATATATATATATATATATATATAATTATTATTCTGACGAAGCAAGCTTCCGGCGTGCACTCGGGTTTTATATCATTCACTCTTCTTCATTTGATTTATTCGTGCTGTTAAGGTGTGTTTGAGTCCGTTCTTTCTCGTCTTAGCAGATCGTTTCGTTTAGAGTGCAGTTTGAGTTGTATGGCTTGTAAATTGTCCTATTGCGGCAGTAGGTTAAGAAATGAGATATGCAGTCTTCTGAAGGCTGCGTATTGTTGGGGAGCTGTCCTCTAATGTACATGGACGTCTCCATTGGAACTGCAAAGAGAAATGGTTGAAAGAGCTGCAGTTATTTTACTCATGCGTCGTATAGCATGAGTCTGTTACAACAACATGGGGTCCCATTAACGAATTCAAGAAAACACTTTGAAATTCCTAGCTAGATGACACATTATTGCATCCAAATGTTAATTCAAGATATAAGACCAGCTAACAGTGCCCAGCAAAAAATAGCGTTGCATTAGCTTGTAGGTTCATTCGTTTCATTACACAAAGCTAGTTTCCAACGAATAACTCAGAGTCAATCAGTCAGTCCAAAAACCTTATTTATAAAATGGTCTGAGAATCTGTTATTCTCAAGAAGATGGGTTGGCAGCGGGGTGCGCCTACGTTGGAACGGTAAGGGCGTGTCCCTTTTCCAAACAGTGGTCCCGCCGGAAAGCCCGGATTTAGACCTTCAAAAACCACACAAGTATACATTTTAAGCCATGCGTGCTCATAATACTTTCATGAATCATGTGGTTTTGTGGAAAGTCTGCGTATCGTGCGTGTTTTGAGAAAAGTTATTTTGTCAGCTGCAAATATTTTTAAGGTGTGATCTTTACACCTACAAAATGGCAAATGATGTTGACATTACAAGGTTGGATAGTGACTGGTCACAGAGGAGAACTCAGAGTCCCACCTCATTTACTATTCCTTCAACACTTGTACGTACTATTGCTGTACGAGTTATGCATATTCGGTTTATCATAGCGAGCCTTTGAATTATGTTATCAAGTGAAACTCCCAAGGCCCACAACTCTGCAAGTTGCCAAACAGTGGAATCAGGATTTTTAGTTCTCGTGGTGCTGCTTCATTCTAAGAAACAGCACAATCTAGGAAGCCTAAAATGTGAACAGTTAGAGGTAAGAGTTAATGGAGAGTACCATAGTAACCTGCACTTCGCCGATGACATTGTATTGCTGAGTAACTCAGGGGACAAATCGCAACACATGATTTCGTAGTAAAACAAGGAGAGCAGAAAGGTGGGTTTTAAAATTAATCTGCAGAAAACCAAAGTAATGGACAACAACCTCGGAAGAGAGCAGTGCTTCGAGATAGGTAATAGTGCACTTGAAGTTGTAAAAGACTATATCTACTTAGGGCAGGTAATAACCGCGGAGCCGACTCACGAGATTAAAGTAACTAGTAGAACAAGAATGGTGTGGAGCACATTTGGCAACCACTCTCAAATTATGACAGGTAGATTGCCACTATCCCTCAAGAGGAAGGTATATAACAGCTGTATATTGCCGGTACTTAGCTACAGAGCAGAAACCTGGACACTTACAAAGAGGTTTCAGCTTAAACTGAGGATGACGCAGCAAGCAATGGAAAGAAAAAAGTAGGTGTAACCTCAAGAGACAAGAAGAGAGCAGAGTGGATAAGGAAACAAACGGGGGTCAAGGATATCATAGTTGAAATCAAGAAGAAGAAATGGACATGGGCCGGGCATGTAGCGCGTAGACAGGATAACCGCTGGTCTTTAAGAGAATTTAACTGGATTCGCAGACAAGGCAAGCGGGTTGGGGAGAGAAAGAAGCTTAAGTGGGCAGATGAGATTAAGAAGTTTGCGGGTATAATTTGGCAGCAGCAAGCACAGGGCCGAGTTAACTGGCGGTACACGGGAGCGGCCTTTGTCTTGCAGTGGACGTAGTCAGGCAGATGATGATGATGATGATGTACTGCTTCAATTTTGCTTTTATATGGGCGTTGCTAAATCTGGCATGTTGTTCATGAGCGGCAGCCTCACTGCGAAATCGTTGCTGCCCCAGCACGGCCAAGAGTATAGCGAACTCTACCACAATTGCCAACGACAGCCTTGATGAAATACTCTGCCGAAGTAAACTTAATGGCGCGCACTTGTAATAGGCGTGTCGGTGCACATTCGCCGTCACTTGGGGATGACTACTGGTGAGGCAGCTACGCGTAATGGTAGCTAATCGAGCTCTTTTGATAGGGTGTTAGATCGTTCACGGGCAGCTAACATCACAGCCACTAGGGTCCTCAACCTTCCAAGTAGATTCACCTTCTTAACTAAAACAAATCCTGCTGAGGCTTCGACCATTGTCATTCTAAGCGTACATAGTGCTTCTCGAAAACTTAAGAAAATAGGCTAAAACTAAAATTCCGGAATTTTTCTGTCCCTTGAAAGCTATCTCAACTTTGTGTCGGAACAAACCGAGTTGCTAATACATGGAACTACTGAGCTATCAACCACATTAAATGCACGTGGACTGTGTAAAGATTGTAATATACATTGTTGGAAAAGAAAGAAATAAACGTGTGCAGGCTAGTACTACAAGAGAAGAAGTTGGAAACAAAAAACGGGGTTCGGTCTGGTTTCTTCGCCGGTCGAGAGTTTTCCTTTACACCATGTTTCGTACCGAGCTGGCCCGCGGCCAAATACTGGGCTACATCCTTGCAAGAAAATTTTAAGTAATTATTTTCTATATCCCATTGCATTCCCAAGACCACAGCTGCTTCTCCGGATACTCCTTCTACTTGCTTTCCTGGTTGTCAAAATTGTTCTGCAGCTGATAGTCATTGGTCTTCCACTTTCTGAGCTTCATGCCAGCATCCTTCATAATCGCTTTCGACTGCTCATAGATGCGCCGACCTTCATGGAATGTGTCCGCACCCACTAATAAATCATCGACATAAAATGCCTTCTTTAAGCAGAAGCGAGCTCTTTGTTTTCAGATGCGTTATCTAAGTGGTAGTGAATAGTTGCCATGAGCAAGAAAGGGCTTGACGTTGATCCAAACGGTACACGTGTCATGCCCCATTCGACGAGCTTACGGTGTTAGCTTACGAAAATAGAGTCAAACCAGAAAAACCGGAATGCATCTCAGTCAGTCTCCTGTATCTCAATTTGTAAGAATGGCTTATCGATGTCGGAATTGATGGCGACAGGGTACCATCGAAAGCGAAGAAGGACTTGCAGCGATTCCGGATTGAGGTTCACTCCTTTATCCAAGCAGTCGTTAAGGGATGGTACACCTTAGGTGTGGGACAATGCGTCGAACACAATACGCAGTTTGGTAGTTAACTATTCTTCTCCTATTACTTCCCGATGTGGCATATAATATATGGTGTGATCTCGATCCCGAGAAGTATTCTTAGGCACCACTTCCGCGTGACCCAACTCCAGATATTGCCGGATTACTGTGTCTTATCGCTGCAACATTCATTCCAGTGTAGATAGCCTCCGTGTTAATATTAATAGACGCGATAGCGCGATTTCCCGGTTGTTCTCTAGAAGCGGCGTCTTATCTTCCTTCCAAGGCAACGCCACAGTGTATCTGTCGCTTTTCTTGCTAATGGTTTCATGGAATCGTGCAAAAGACTCGTGGGAGGAAGGTTCCGTTGAATCTGCGATGTCCATTGCTTCTGGTTGCCAAAAAGATTGCAAGATCTGCGAGGTTGATTCGTTGTCACCAATTGCTTGCACTTTCACATTGCAGACCATTAGGCTAGAGCTGCAGTCAAGAAAGGCTTTTTGGTGGCTGGGTCCTTGTATCGTCCGTCCAAAAGCTGTATCAATTGCTACCAGTCCTGGAATTTCTGCACTTTTAACGATACGCCCCGACATAATTAGCCAGAGGTGGTCAGCACCAATCAACAAGCTGAGGCTATTTTCCCTTTCCGCATCATACTTCTTTTCCTCCGCAATGACTTAGCCTTCAAGATGCAGGTGCTGAAGGAAATGGCTGTCAACTTTCGGGAAAGCAATATTGTGACAGATAACAGGAACAACGATTGCGCGCCACGTGTGGGTGTCAGAACCGTGTTGGCTACGCAGAGGGACTTCTACCACTTGCCGTCTTTCCACAGTACTTGCTGATAACCAGCCAAATGTATTCAGCGCAATTCGTGTTTCTCCCAGCACATGTAGGTGTAATGTCTTGGCGAGATCTTCCGTGACGAAGGATCGCTGCCTCCCCCCGTCGAGAATCCCTCGGACATACCTTGTGTTGTCGTTTTTCATGACAAAGGCGCGAAATGTTTGTAGATATACTCCACTGTGATTCGTTGTGCCCCCACTCAGTGAATCCTTGTCACACAGCATAACTGATTGCGACGACACCATTCCTACTGTGCTGCCGGAGGAGTCAACTAGACGAGAAGGTGTCGTTCTTTGGTTCGATGTGTAGTGCGGGTGGCACATACTTGATGCGTGCCTCCCGTGGCAACTTGAGCAGGTGTGTTTGACGCGGCGCGAACTCGCCTGATGTCCTCGGGACCTGCATCAATAGCAGCGGTTGTCCTTTGCAAGCATTTCTTTCTTCGAATCGATGGCAAGGTTCGCGTCACAAGTGCGGGTGCCGTGTTTCTTCGACTTGCAGAAAAAACACTCAATCCAGCTGCTCGATGTGCTTTGTAGTAGAGAAGCCGTGCTGGTGCTGTTGCTTCGAGTCCTCTGTGCACGGTCATCCAGCAATAGGTCATTAAAGGGCTTGCACTGCTCCCGACTTTCTAGCTCTGTACGTGTATAAGTAAGCAGCTCCTTTAATTCCACATCAGATGTAGCAGCTGCCACGCCTGGCTCAAAGACGTTGGCAGCAGACCCGTTTTCTCTTAGTAACTGACTGCGGTTTGCACGTGTATAGGCCAACATGATGTCGTATGAAAGGACTTTCGGTAAAATGTCAATCAGCATAGAAGAAAAACTAAGCCTAGGAACAATTTGCGCAGTTCGACACCGGGTATTCAGCTGCACAGCATCGTAATGTCGCCTAAGGCCGCGGCCGTCGCTTTTCGACTTGATGTGAGGTAGATGGCGAAGCGCTGATAGGTGGTGTTGCTCGATCTGTTGGCGATCTCCGAAGCGTTCCTTCAATAACTCGATGGCGTCTGCATAACAGGCTTTGGAAGTCGGAAAACCACATATCGCAGCTGCCGCTTCACCCACAAGATAATGGCGTAGATAGAAGAACTTCGTCATTGTTGACAAAGCGTTGTTCAGGTGGAAAGTTTGCTCAAACTGCTCCCAGAAA